ACTCTTCCACCAGAGAACTATTCCCAGAGAAGAAAATTCATTGAATTTTAACCCAACCACAGAAGGAACTTGAAATGCCTGTCTAGAAAGAACAATAAAATGCTTGTTTTCTGCAGCACTGTGATAGTATAATACCTTTTTTTTTTTTGTTTTTTGTGTCACACCCAATTGTATGCAGGGGTTACTTCTGGCTCAGCACTCAGGAATTACTCCTGGTGGTGTATAGGGACCTTATGATACCAGGGATCAAACCCAGGTCAGCGACATGCAAGGCTAGCACCCTTACCTGCTGTAGTATCACAGCAGCAACTATAATTTTTTAATGATTACATCAACAGAAAATTTATATTTCCTATTGCCATGTGTGACCCAAAACTTCTAGTCTTGTGTTATGAATGAATAGTTGACAATTGCTGTTGAGTAACAAATGAAGAATTCAAAAATCCAAGAAGAATCTTCATTTGGTTGTCAACAGAATTCTTGTTCTTTTATTGTCTTTGGTTCATATTTCTTTTAATCAATCACACACATTCTTAATTAATGGATATTGAGATTGTTCATTGAACAGACATTTTTCTATACCCAACTAGGTTGCTTTAGTTTTTAATATTTGGCCCAAAGAAATAGTAGCTTCATGCCAAGGACACTGTACAGTAAAGTCAAAATCTGAACTCTCAGGTTAATAAACCTCAGAAAGAAATGCTAAAACAAGTGTAGTTTGCATTTTTATTGAATCTTCAGCTTTCTAACAGATAAATATAGAATGATTTCTCTCATTTGCTCACAAAATCATTTTCCCAGAGCTAGGAACTTTTTAAATTTCCTTAAAGATTTCTTTACTTTAAATATAATTGAGATTGAATAAATATCACAACCCCAATATAATTATTTTGTGAACAATTATATTAGCTAGCTTATATTCTTGTCCCCAAGACACATTTTGTCCCTCAGTGACCAGCTTAAAATTTGGAACCATAGGTCTTTTATAATGCCTAAAAATTATTGGCAAGACATACACAGATTTTAATATTCTAATTACTTCTTTATTACAAATGTGTTCCTAAATATTATTTCTTAACAACAACAAAAACCCTCTATGGTTTCTTTTCCTTCTTCTTTACTTGTTCTCCCCCTCCTCTTCTTTCTTTTTTTTTCTTTCATTTTTATTTTGGGGTCACAGCTGGATGTTCACAGGACTGGGTCTCTGCTCAGCAGTCACTCTTGGCAGCGCTAGGGAACCACATGTATTGCCTGGGATAGAACTAGGTTTGGCTGTGTGCAAGTGCCTTACCCACTGTACTCTCTCCAGCCCAGAGATGTTTCATTATATAGCACACAGACCTGTTTTGAGTGCAGAACTACTTTCAGAGACTCCTGTTATGCAAGCTGTTAGCTGTCAACAGAGAGACCTTTCTGCAAATTATGTAATGATTCTCCAGTCTACTCGGATTTTTATAACCTGGAATCTTTAGGGGATATATTACAAAAGTACACCAGCTGAATATTTTTATTTGGGTAAAGGCCTCCCAAGTACTTCTCAGGAGTCTCTGGACCACTCCATGGGATGCATAGGTTAGTAGGTAGGTGGCTTAATGCCAAGACCAAGTCCCTGTTGTACTGGGGGCCTGTAGGGTCACAATGACAGTAGTGCTCAGGGGACCATGTCGCACCTGAGCACAAGCAAAGCCTGTGTCCCTGATTGGTTATATATTTCCCCAGTCCCAAGAGTTTTCTTTTTATCAAAACCAAATGCAAAATTCTATGCTTGATCTGAGCATGACAGAGGAAAACTAAAATGTGAAATGTTTTCATTTGTGAATTATGTGCATATGTATGTGTTTTATTTTAATAACTATATGACATATTGATTTTTTAAATTGCCATGTTGTCATTTGGGGTTTAAAAAATATATTCAAGGGCCTATGAAAAATCTATAATTTTGCGGAAAAACTGTTTCTTATCATGTGTTACTTTTCCAGTTAGCCCAAAATCTTGAGCTGTGAGACAAAACTTAGAAACATTATAGTTTCATTGTCTAGGTAGGTCAGTTAGCTTTATTCTGTTTCCTGACCACATGAAGGGATTTAATGACTTACAAAGAAAATGTGGATGCCCAGTGTGAATTAATTCACTCTGCCCAAAGAACCACCCATAACACAACCTAGATTTGTGCTGATACCTAGGTCATTTGTGTCAGGAGCAAAACAAAACAAAAACAAGTGGAGGTGAATATCAATCCTCCATATACAGTAACTGAATGCCTTCTAACTTTTATCACCACTTTGTGACATAACAACCAGCCCTTCCTTTTTAGAGTTGGAGTTGAGGGGCGCCTGCCGCTCAGCTGCAGGCTCTGATTGCAAGCCTGGTGTGCAGCATTTGAGGAGGCACAGTCCTGTTTTCTTTGCACTAGGAAATCATTTAGCAAATTACTGCTGTTCCATAAATTACCCTGCTGGGTCACTTTCATACTGAGAAACTATTTCCTTTCTCCATAAAAATTGCAAACAAAAGATTTCAACACTAAATAATCTGTATTTAAGACAAATCAATCTGTCGAATTTAAAGAATGTGAAATAGTGGTTCCTGAGTAAAAATAAAGAAAAAATACAAATGCATCTTTATTACTAATATTTCACAATGATATCTTTATTAAAGTCTTTTTTCATGTATTGTTTACATTGTTCTCTTTGAGATGAATATGTGGAGGGATATGGGGATGAAGTAACAATCTTTAGTATGTCTTCTTTTTAAAAGAAAAAAAAATGTGATTTTTAAACTCAGAGTTCTTTAAACCTAAATTCTAGTGCTCCACTGTTGGTAACCAACCTAAATGAGGATAGCATTGGTAGCAAAATGTTTCTACTATGCCACATTCTAGTTAAGATGTCAGTTTAAAGCAAGGTAACTCAGTTCTTTTAATTTTATTCACAGGTAATAGGCTCAAATATAATCTGGAAATTTGGCCTTATCCCCTCAAACCATTTTGACTCAGAAGGTCACACTCCAACTATGGTGATCATTGCTGATGTGGCAGGAAGCTTATAAAAGGACTAATTCCTCTGGCCTTTTCCAGAAACACTTGTATAATAGAACACAGGGCTGGCTCATTTCATTTCATTTACTTTGCAATAAGAAAAGCAGAGGCAAGAGAGAGAAAGGTTTTCCTCAGAGACTGGGGTCCTATTTCAAAGCTGCCTTTTCATAAAAGAAGGGCTTAAAAACAAAAGCGAAGGACTGATATTCACATAGACTAATGAATATTAAATGGATCCCCCCAATCTTAAACATTCTTATGACTAATAAAAGGAAATTGATAAACGGTAGTTGTTGTTTTTTAAAATAGCCATCATATAATCCTCTTAGACTTAGATCTAGTGATACCATCACTTGATTAAATACCTGACACTTGAATACACAGCTAAATAAAGCCATAGAAGATATTTAGGAAAATTGCATCAACATGGTTTTATTGTTGAGTATAAGAGCAGGAGGTTAAAAGAACTACTTATGATCCGTTTGAACATGATAGACTCATTTTTTTAATCATGTTTCTAGCCTTTCTTAATTTGAGCCCCTTATCTAAATCACAACATAATACAAATGACTATTTTCTCAATTTCCCTATAGATGGTACATAACTAGCACCATTCTAGACACATTGAAGAGAAGTTAATTCATTACATACAGGATGCCTTAAGGCACCAGGGCTCAATTCTCTTTTGCAGCAGAGGTTGATAACAATTGGATATACACTGGACCGTAAAGGAATGTTGACAATAGCTGGAGTCTAGAAAATGCATTTAAAGGCAGAAGAATATTAAAAAAAGACACAGTTATATTTTCTAAAGATAAATTGTTTATCATTACAATAGTCTATTGTAGAAAATTATACAATTGTTTCCTTTTAAGGAATTTGAACTTGAGATTTACCTTTTTTTTTCCACTGGAATGTGATAAAAACTCCTAAGTTCTGAAGGCAGAGGTTTCACCCTGAAATGCATGTGCTTTGTTCTCAAAATGGAGAATCCATGATGCTAGGAGGTAAATGAGCAAGACACACAAAAGAGCTAAGAAATGGAAGTCTAAGATTCATCTAGATAATGAGGAAGTGCCCGCAGAATGCAGATGACCTGAAAACTCCTTTCTAGTGTCAGGGAAAAGAAAGGAAGAAATCTCACAGTCACGTGGGGAACACTAAAGAAAAATAATTCTGAAGAAGATGAAAACTATTTTACAGGGCTGCTTAAGACCTTTTACTCATCTGTAATATGAATTTCCCTTTCTTAAAGATGATGCCACTTCACTCTAGAATACATTTTTGATGAATTAGAATTACTAATCTGAACAAAACACTTCTTAGGAACTAAATAGAAACAACAAACACAATATTCATAGTGAAGACTTAGTAGTTAGTGTTTTGTTATCTGAAAGCAACTTGGTTTCTATGTCTGTTTTTCTGATGAATGTAAACAGAGTAAAATTCTGGATACTTTGTTTTGTTAGTTAATTTTCAAATAATTGAAGCCCTACCTAATATTGTTCCCTGTAGTGATCTTTTATTCATTAATCCACATTATCATGATTTGAGAATCGTTCACAAAGATCTCTGTTGACTTGGATTGTACATTTAAACTACAAATGACTTTTTCTAATGTTACTTTAAGGAGTATTTGGACAAGGCATCAGTCACACTGTGAATACAATCTGCTTTTTCTGGCAACTTATCATTAATGTAAAATGAGAGCCCATATTGATCTTCACTTATACAAGCAGTACACATGAATTCCATGAAACTGCAAGTGAGCAACAAAGGGCAAACTTCAGTGGTTCGAATACTTGAGTGCAAATATCTCTCTCGTAATGAACAAACATATTGTTTATTTACAGAGGTTTCAATTATAATAAAGTCAAGGTTGGAATGTTGAAACAGATGAATGAGTATATGAATAAAATTTTTCTTGGCTCTGTCTAACTGCTGCTTTCTTTCCCTTTTACAGCTATTCAAGAACAAGAAAATGAATCCGTGCCCTTATCCTTAAGTCCAGGCACCACTTTAAATAAGTCACAGTTAGATGACTGCCCGAGGGACTCCGGTTGCTATATCTCATCAGAAAATTCAGATAATGGCAAAGAAGATCTGGAGTCTGGAAATCTGTCAGACATGGTACAGAAGATTACTATCACAGAACCAAGTGACTGAACAGACATTCTCAACTTTCGCTACAGAAGCACGATTTTAACCCTTTTGGAGCTTAAATTTTAATAGTTTTTGTAGATGCAACCTAAAGCAAAACCATTTTCATCTGAATGATTGTACATAAAAGTTCATAATTTCTTAACATTCCCAAATATTGTACATATTATGTATAGTTATTATTTTAAATGTAACATATTACTATCTCATTTGCTTGAATTTATGTGTAATTGTAAGCCTTTGGCATATATAACACAGTGTTGTTTGCCTTTATTGTATAAGATAATAAGTTCTGCAAAAATAAAAAAGGGACTCGCCTTTCTTACACCTAATTTTGGATTTGTGTATATTACTGAATGAATAATAATGGAACTTGTGTTCATTTAACTAATTGTCCAAGCAAAATTTACATTCACTTTCTTTTTTTTACATCATAAAGTAATGAGTTTATTATAAGCCTAATAAAGCTGAGGAAAGAGCCATGAAACTTAGAAACTATGAGAAATAATAGCAATTGAAACAAAGACTAGAAAAAATTAAAAATTGACCAGGAACCCAAGATATATAGCACAGCATCAATAGCATAGCATCCCTTTAATTGATTTTTTGTTGTTTTTTTTTGGGGGGGGGGCAAGGGCTTTCTGGTTCACGCCTGGCTATGCTCAGGGTTTACTCCTGGCGGTATTCCTTTATGTAAAGTCCTACTAGGTGAGAAAAATGGAGCAAAAGAATGAAAAGACAAAAGTCAAGAATTTTCCAAAAAATCACGGTCCTCCCGTTGTTCATTGATTTGCTCGAGCGGGCCCAGTAACGTGTCCATTTTGAGACTTGTTGTTACTGCGTTTGGCATACCGAATACATCACGGGTAGCTTGCCAGGCTCTGCCGTGCAGGTGAGATACTCTCGGTAGCTTGCTGGGGTCTCCGAGAGGGGTGGAGGAATTGAACTCGGGTTGGCAATGTTGGCTGCATGCAAGGCAAACACCCTACCGCTGTGCTATCGCTCCAGCCCCCTTTCCAAAATTAAAGTTAACAAATATATGAATTCTCAGCTGCTTAGAAAAATATCACAAGCTTTTGTTCAAGTTCTTATTTTTTCATTTATTATTGAAAAAGTAAGTTAATAGTGGGAACAAATTATTCTGTCCTACACTGGAGTTTAATCTTTTTTTATTTATTTACTGTTTTTTGTTATAAAAGTGTAGATAAACAACATATTGTCAATTCTGAATCAATAAAATCTATGTTTAATAAGTGTATACATGTTTCATCTTTAACTATAAATATTTTAATTAAAAATAACCTTATATTAACAATAAATATACTTTGAACTTTCAATATTAATATTATTTCAGGTATTTTCACATTAGATCTTCATGCTTAGCAGTTACTCCTGTTCAGCGGTCACTTATAGTGTGTTGAGGAGGTCATAAGCAGTTTGATCCTTAGCAGTACTCCTGCTTGGAAAACATGCATTTAGCCTGTTGTGCTATTCCTCTGTCCCTCAGACAAGATATTATAGTCAAACTTCATATACATATGCCCAAATCAAATTACCACTCACACTCACTCAAATCTGTCTTCTGAAACCCAGATGCATTAAATACATCATTTAAAAACCTGAATATATGTATGTGTTAGTCAGATCAGACTGCCATAACAAAATACCACATATTAGGTAACTTGTCGGTCACGGTTCTCCCATTATTCATCAATTTGCTCGAGCGGGCCCAGTAACGTCTCCATCGTGAGACTTGTTGTTACTGTGTTTGGCATATTGAATATGTCACAGGTAGCTTGCCAGGCTTTGCCGAACGGGCGTGATACTCTCGGTAGCTTGCCGGGCTTTCTGAGAGGGGTGGAGGAATAGAACCCAGCTCGGCTGGGCTGGCTGTGTGCAAGGTAAACGCCCTACTGCTCCTACTGCTGTGCTATCGCTCCAGCCCGTTAGGTAACTTAAAATAACAAATTTATTTACTCCTAGTTCAATTCAAAGTTGTATTATGAAATTTGTATTATGAAAGGTTCTATTTTTATTTTACATATAGCTACCATGAGAGAATGCAACTTCTATGGTATTTTTCTTACTATTTTCTTACTAATCTCCTCATGAGGGCCCTACCTTCAAGATGTATGCATTTACCAAAGCCCCATCTCCAAATATCATACACCAAGGAGTTAAAATTTCAACATAAATTTGGATATAGGATATGAAGACAATTCAGTCTAGATCATACTAGTAACCTTCACCTCGAGCGGGCCCAGTAACGTCTCCATTGGAGACTTTGTTGTTACTGTGTCTGGCATATCGAATACTCTCGGTAGCTTGCCGGGCTCTCCGAGAGGGGCGGAGGAATCGAACTCGGGTCAGCCATGTTGGCCGCTTGTAAGGCGAACACCCTAAATTTTTATTTACTAGTTTGTCTTTTTTTAATTCCAAATTTTATATCTTATAAAGGTACTAATATCCTGAATGCTTCCAAAAGCAGAAAATCATTTCAAAGGTAACTTGTGTCTTTGTTGTACAACTTATCATGATATATTTAATCTATTTGTATAGCATTTGCTTTCCATGAGACAGTGACCTACTTGTTACAGAGGTGAGTTTTGGTTAAACTTTTTAATCCCCTGTGCCTGGTGCTTCGTGAGGTCTAGGGTGGACATTAAAGACATGTTTGCCAGAATACCTTAATTAAAGTGATTATTCTCATATAAAAGATCCTACATGTGGGTCTGGAGTAATAGCACAGCGGGTAGGGCGTTTGATTCCCAGCATCCCATATGGTCCCCTGAGCACTGCCAGGAGTAATTTCTGACTGCAGAGCCAGGAGTAACCCCTGTGTATCACCAGTGTGACCCAAAAAATAAGAAAAAAAAGGCCCTACATGTGTGTGTGTGTGTGTGTGTGTGTGTATTTGGCTTTGTTGTTTTGTTACCCACAGTATTGGTGCTCAGAGTTACCACCAGTTCTGTGCCCTGGGGTAATTCCTGATGATGCTTAGGGAACTATGCAGTGCTGGAGATCAAAGATGCACCTCTTACATGCAAAATACATGCTTCAGTCTAGTGAGCTATCTCTCTGGTCTCTCATATTTCTATTTAAATCAAACTGTAGGTAAATACCTTGAGAATTACCACATTTATCTAAACTAAAACTTTAGGAAAAACAAGGAAACACCAGGTGTTATTTCAAATACAGGAGGACACTATTAATACTCTCAACCTATAGCATATTTGTCCAGACCCATATTTATTTAATCCGGTACGTGATTCACAATTCAGTAGTAAAAGACATCATGATTATTTCTGTGTTCACTTCTAAAATTCTGCCTCCATCATAGCTCCATTCTTTTTTTCCCCTCTTTTATTATTTTTCTTTATTCAGAAGTACTTTTGTTTTTTGTTTGTTTTTTAAATTTTTATTAGTGAGACACCATGAGGTACAGTTTTAGACTTACAAATTTTGTGCTTGGGTTTCAATTATACAATGATCAAACACCCATCCTTCCACCAGTGCCCATTTTCCACCACCATGGATCCCAGTATCCCTCTCCCTCCCATCCCACCCTGCCTCTGTGGCTGGGCATTCCCCTTTGTTCTCTCTCTCTCCTTTTGGGTGTTGTAGTTTGCAAAAGAGGCATTGAGTGGCAATCATGTTTGGTCTATATGGCCCCATTCTTATGATAGCCACCACTTCAAACAGATTACCCTAGAGCCTTCAAGGACAGACAACACTGACCATCATTTAAATTTTTTCTTCAACTTGATACTTCAGAGAGACCAAGAAAGTGTTGTTTCTTTATGAAAATGCTAGGAAATTACAGGTTGGGAAGCACCGAAGACACTACTTGATTATATAATGGTGAAAATTGCCTGTGGAGGATACTCAGCCACAACAAGTTCAGTACCTTCAAGATGAAGGTCTGGTACTCAGTCAAGGGAAATATATTTGAGCAGAGTGCTGCAGAGGTCTTGAGGACACTGAAGTAGCAGGAGAGAGATGAGATCCAAGAGGGCAGGAGAAGGGAAGGGAAGGGAAGGGAAGGGAAGGGAAGGGAAGGGAAGGGAAGGGAAGGGAAGGGAAGGGAAGGGAAGGGAAGGGAAGGGAAGGGAAGGGAAGGGAAGGGAAGGGAAGGGAAGGGAAGGGAAGGGAAGGGAAGAAGACACTCAAGAGAGCCAATGCTCAGGAGGGACTACCCAATCACAGGGCACAGATCTGAAAAGGACACCCGTGTTGCAAAAGTATAAGTCACACTAGGTGTTGGTGCGTTTTTCTTGTTTTTTTTTTGTTGTTGTTGTTGTTGTTTGCTTGTTTGTTTTTAACCTACTTACAAATCCCTGCTGTGGTAGCCTCAACTCCTTCTATCTTTCTTAACCACACAGGAAGAATGAAAAAGGAAAAAATAGTTCCTCCAAGGTCAGGTGCAGTCTAGGGGGTTTAGACAAGTGGCTTTTTGCTATGAGAGGAATGTGAGTCTGAGACTTTGGAGAGTCAAAGGTTGGACGGTTGACATATTACAATTGGCCTGATGATCACACTGGTTTTGCTTCCATTGAGAAATCTCTTGATCTGCCCAGTTTCATTGATTCATTTATTCACTCAACAATATTTATGTATTGGAATGTGTGTTGCCCTTGACTCCTAGTCAAGCCTCTTTAGAATCAGATAATCTGCACTAGAATCTTGCCATCTCCTCTCTATTGAAATGAACTGAGTCATTGTAGAAAGTCTATAAAAAAGTTCCAGAACTCAATGATTCTGATCTAACATCTACAAATTTAAGTGTGCTATCACAATATGCATAGCTAAAGAAAATTCATTCCAGCTAAGTAGAAAAGTCCTCACAATTTTTCATAAAAGTAAAGTTTAGAATATTTACATTGTTTTCCCTCCCCTCCCCTCTTCACTATCATTATCACTATCACCCCATTGTTCATCGATTTGCTTGAGTGGGTGCCAGTAACTTCTCCATTCATTCCTGTCATGGGCTAGTGTAGTCCGATGACATATTTGGGACTTTTTCAGGGTCATGGGAATGAGGACCATCATTGTTACTGTTTTTGTCATATCGAGTATGCCACGGGGAGCTTGCCAGGCTCTGCCGTGTGGGCGGGATACTCTTGGTAGCTTGCTG